CTGTATGATGTACAGGCGGACTACTTAAATTAGACACCAAAAGTGTACGTGTGGCTAGTATGTACTCTCTAATATAGAGGATCCCTAGAGAACCCTGTACTATATATACTTGAATAAAAATCCTAGCTCCCAAGAGGGTAGACGTTAAAAAAAAAAAAAAAAAACAAATAATATTTTTCTATTAGAATTTATGTCTCGATACTTCTTACTAGTATTGGCACTTGGTATATATCTATATTTTTTAAAAAATTTGAACTATGTCCAAATCTATATATTCATGTCTATAAATTACTATATCCATATTTGTTTATATTTTTTTTAATAAGTTCAAATATCTATATTGCCTAATACTGCTTTCTATATAACTATTTCATTCCAAGATTCTATAACAACTATTGTACTTATCTACTAAAAACAACATTAAAACAAGTACATTAAATTGCTAACCAACTTACTTAGTTCAATTAACAACAAATTGCCAATTAGTATATATTTTAAAAATATTAGTTAAATACAAATACTGCAATATATATAGTAAGAGACTACTGGCCTTAAATACTGACCTATTCTCTTCAGCAATAAAAAATTTTAAAATCAAACTACTCTTTGAAAAACTACTTACCTATCTTCTTTTTTATTGAAAAAATATTATTAAATATTCTAACTATCTTTGCTCAAGATATCTAAACAATTCTGAAAATATTGTCTACCTCCTAACATACCTTTGAAACTATTTATGCTTCACTATCTTAATTACACAAGCAGTGCAAAAAATCATATATAAAATAGAGATACTCTATTTTCAACTAGATACTTTTACTCAGGTCTTTATTAATATTTATATTAACAAACAAATACTCTTAGAGATAATTACTAAAAATACTTTAGCACCTTTTAAAAAAAATAGAAATAGATACAAATATGCACCACTTGTTTATTATAATATTATTATAGCAATATACAAAAAACTATAGCTTATATTTAGAGTAGTACTATATAACTATTTTTTTATCTTTTACTCCTCTACAACCTCTGATATTGTACAAAACTAAGTACTAACTTCATTGCTTATACAGAAGAAGGTAAACTAATATATTACATATGGATAATCTTTTCTTAGTTATCTTATCAAAGTCTAGAGATTTAATGATTATTTTAACAAAGAATAGGTTAAGAGTAAAGTAGCTTTTATTTCTATCTCCCATAATATAGTTTTTTGTTATATATCAAATATATATATAATTAACTATCAAATAAAAGAGTAGAGAATAGATCTCTCTTTAAAAAAAATTTAAATTATAGAATTTCAATAATCATTAGTGAATTAATACAAAAAAAAAATGAAGCTTCTAAAAAATATATCTTAAGTAAATTAAACAAAAATATTAGAAAGACAATTTTGTATATACAGTATAACTATTTAAACCTATCTAACTCTAATATAGGATAATTTTAACAATAAAGTTAATTTAATAAATATTAATTATATAATTTATTTTTGTTTAAGATATTACCAATTCAAGTAATTTTTGTATCTATTTTAAAATCTAGTATGTAATAGTATATCTACTTTAAAGTAAAATTATGTGACTGATAGATATACAGAAACTTTTTTAAAATTTATATATATTAATTACATAAGTAAAGATATTCTCTAAATATACACTCTTACTAAATACATATCTGTGTTTGGTCCAAGAAAGATATATTTAAAAAGAATTCTCTATATAACTAATTTTGCCAATTTTAACAAAATAAATATTTGGTTTAAATTTGTCTATTATATTAAATAATATCTGATCTTTAAATTTGATTAGCTTTTATTAAATATGATTATAGTAATTATGATTATAAATAATTACTTCTTCAAATAATATATAATTATAATTTTTAAAAAAAAAAAATTTTAATTTTTTTTCAGTATTAAGATAAGGTTTTGTCTCATATCTTTATTAGATATTTTTAAGTATTTGCTTTATATAGCTATATATCTATCTTAAGAATACAAGCTTAAACAATTTTATTTATAACCTAAATCTACCAGAGTATGCTACATTTCTACTACATATTGGATTATACCTGAATTTGGTATTCAAACTATTTCTAATTATCTACCATATTTACTTCATATCTCATCATCAAATCTTGGTAACTTCCAAATTAGTTTATTCAGAAAATTGGTCTTTAATAACCTTCCAATTTGGTATGCTGTTATTAGGTACTTTTTTCACTAATATACTTAAAAGATTTTAATTTTGATACAAGTAGATTAGATATGATTTTATAAAATATTAATAGACAAATTTGTTTGCTAAACTGAATAGTTTAAAAAATAAAGTTTCTACAACAAAAAATATTTAATTTTTTTAAAAATACCAAATTTAAAATTATATAATCAAATATTATTGGCCAATTTTCATGTAACATTAAATATAATTGGTTAATTTTCATATAACAAATTCTAATTGGTCAAAAAATATATATAAACAATGTTTTTATATAGGAATAATTTATTCATCACCCGGGTGAGTTACTCACCTTCTTTAAGTACAAAAGGGAACCCAGTCATGTTAATATATTAGGGTTAAAATTAAGGTTAGGGTTAGGGTTAGCCTAAGGTAAAATTGCGAGAGAAACATTTTTGCTTATGTTATATGACAGGGGTTATCTTAATAAAATTTTGAGATATTGGCATTTTTTCAAATTTTGTTATAGAGGGGTAAGCAATATCAAATCTCACCCCGGGTAAGGAATAAATTTACTCTTTTATATATTAAACACCAAATTTTTGATTAAATATAAGTTTTAAGCTCTAATAACCTTTTAATTTTATAATAAAAATAAAAATCTATTCTAACAAAATTGTAGCTTAGATTAAAAGCAACAAAGTTGTAAAACAGATTTTTTTAAAGTTATTAGTTTTTGAGTTATTAAGATTTTTATATTTTATATATAAAAAGTAGATATTTTTTGCTGTCCGGTACTATAGAAATAAAATTAATTATTAAATCTATAAAATTATTACTTAAATACATATCATGTTTTATAAAATTATATGTTCTGAAGTATACGAATTGTCAATAATAAAGTTTAAAAGAAATTACAATCATAATAATATAATCATGTAATTATGTCTTTAGGAGCTGCTGATAATCTTTTTAGTTCAAGTATCTCATATTCTTTTCTTACAAAAGTTTCAGCATCCTCTTTACCCCGTTGAACATCGACAGTATAAATGATAAAAATTGGTACTATCATCATAACAAATAAAAAAAAATAAGAATATCGAAGGTCGTGGGTTACATCTTCTATCAAAGCTACTACAAATGGACCTAACCAACTTGAACCCTTAATATCATAAAGTTTAAAACTATAAATAAAATAAAATAATTACAGTTATCCAGCAAATACTTATGATCATAAATTTTCTGTTAGTTTTGTCGAAATTATAACTAATTTATGACGACTTGTGAATCATAACCATAAATTGCCGGATAACACAAACACTGTTTAATGCTCCTCAAAATCAAATTTACGGCTTGAATTTCAACCAAATATTTGAACTTCAGATTTGGTTAAAGATAACCTGATAACTACATAATCAAATTCAATGAAAATTTTTTTATTTGGATTATACAGACCTCTAGAATTCAAATTAAAAAATTTCATTGAATTTGACTACGTAGCTATCAAGATATCTTCAATCAAATATTAAAGTTCAAATATTTGATTGAAATCCAACTTTGAATCGATTTTGAGATGCACTAGACAAACACCGAGCAGGCGTTGAAATTTTACTCGAACGAGTAAATGATTGGTCGATAATGCCATTGAACAGCACTCGCCATCTAATCATTTACCCACTCGAGAAAATTTTCATTATTTATCGACGCTTGCCCAGTATTGTACACATAAAAACTAGTGCTACGCAAAATCAAATCAAATTTTGAATTTGACTCAAATCTTTGAAATTATTTGATCAAATTAATTAAAAATTTGATAAAATAATTTCAAATATTTGACTCAAATTCAAAATTTGATTTGATTTTGCGGAGTACTAATAAAAACCAATAATATTATGCGCATACCTTATCAGTAATTTCATAAAGTGAAAACAATTCATTCTCATGACCACGTGGTACTATGCTCCCAAACAAAACTCGACAATAACTCTGAATAGCACCCAACGAGAATCCAAAATAAACAGCGAACATCCAAACTTCCCAAACGTTCTTGAGGCCAAAAGGAGCCACAAAACCAATTAAACCATATATTGGAATCAGTGCATGGAGACTTGCTGTTATGAGAATCATTGTTTTGGTTCGTAGATCAAAATATTGTTGAATTTTTAAAAGTATATAAACACCAATAAATGCACATATGGGAATTATTATGGCAGCTATTAATAATTGCTGTAGACTAAGACCGAGCTGCTTTTTGCCAAAAAGTATGGCTACAGATACGATCGTGTTGAATCCATCGCTTAATAGAAACCAAGCCATTAAGAATTTCATGGTTTGCCAGAGCTGACGTGTTGATGAAATAGTTTTGGCAACGCGTTTCCAAGAATAAAATACATAGTTTTCACCACTGAAATAAGAAACAATAAATAAATAAATAAGTAAATGAAAGTTATATAAACTAACATAACAAATTACATACGGAGGTAGCGAAGGATTTTCACGATCCTGCAACCATAATAGTGGAAAAGTCAAATTGAGAAGCCACCAGGCACCACAAATGGCAGTGCTAACTTGATAACTGTATGCATCGTCCTTCATCAACAACACGACACCTGCACAAAGAATTAGAATGAGCACACCAGCAGAACAACCGACAATTACAGAATTAGAGGATATGGTATTTGCGATTTTTTCCTCGATCTTATTTAATTCATCGGGTGATATACCAGCCCTTTTAGCATCTATTACTCGAGGATGGGCACGAGTAAACGTTGGAATATATGCAAGGTAAAATACAAAAGCGGCACCGAATGAGACATTACTTTAAAAACAAAGGTGAATGAGTACGTTGATTTATTTTATTACCGCTAGAATCAAGAAATTGCTTACGATATGATTGTTAAAAGTCCAGCGAACCAATAAAGATCTTTAAAAAAAAAAAAAAATTAAGGTGTCAATGATTATTTTATAGTTTGTACATGTATGTGATACATATATGTCATACCAGATGATATTACGAAAATGAAAGCAATTGTTGCCAACGCGCCAATATATGAAAAAGTAAGCAAGAACTTTTTCCGATAGTCTAAAACATGAAGGTTAATTATTAGGAATCATTAAGGGTAAAAGGCATTTAATAATACAAGATACATACTCCCATGATCCGCAAGAGAGCCAAATGCAATATATACAATGGCTTGAAGAAATACGGAAATGGATATTATATATAGTGAATAGCTTGCGGTATCAACAAATACCGTGCCAAACTTTGCCTGGCATTTATAATTTATTTGTGACTATAATTATACAAAAGAATTAATAGTTTGAATATTTACAAAGAAAATAGAATGATTAAAAACTAACCATGTTGCATGGAGTCACATGATCAAGCTCGAATCCAGCTTGGCTCGCGAGATGTTCCAATACGACTGGAATGAAAACTATCTCGTAACATTAATGTTAATGCAAAATAAATAAATAAATAAATAAATAAAAAATATAAATAATAATTCACCTGTTATTGCGGCAACATAATAAACTTCACACTATAATTGCAATGTAGTAAGGACTTAAAACTCATGTTTTCAGCTCCGTAAACGACATATCAACATACCGCCAAGTTATATAAATACCAGCCATATAATTCTTTTGTAGTAACCGGAAGGTCATCACTTAACATTGTATCTGTTAAAAATTAGACCTTCGTGCTTTGTCAAATTGTAGAATTTTTTTTTTTTTTTGACGCAATATTTTTAAGAATTTGATAATTGAGTCGAAAGAATAATGTCAATATCATAGTGATGTATTTATAGTAGTAAATGATTTAAATTTTCAACACGTAAAATCACGAAAATCACGTTTATCATCATGGCATAACCAGAATTGTATTAATGGCTGTGTTGATGAATATTTTGGGGGCGTTTTCTCAGTAGAACCTTAGAATTCCAGATTCTCCGATTATATCTCTCTGTCAATGGCTTGTATAGGGTCCAACTTTAAAAATTCAAAAATTCGTCCCAAATAATCATTTGTGAGGGATCAACTTTAGACTTGAGGCGATAAATGCGATTGGCTACTTTTGATTACTGATCCAATCATCTCAAATTGGACTAAATCTCACGTTGGTCCCTCACAATTGAATGACCTTAATTGTCATATTTCATAAAAAACTTTAGGTTCGATCTCGAGATCGATCACAATTTTTGTACGTAATCACTGTAAATCATGCATAAGCATGATAAGATTGTTTGTGATCGGCGGCAAGTTTATCCAATGGGAAATCGTAATTAAGTGTAACGTAACACGATCAGGAAAGTCCAAACAAACATTCGTTTTATATGCTCTAATTAAAATTTTTTGAATTTTAGATTTTCTCTAGCATCGCCAGAAAGGGAATTGCTACCGGCACAGCAAACACGTGACATAATTCCTAATTCAGCTACATTCTAACACTAACCTTAAATATAGTACCGGCCATGCTGTGTCGTTAAGGTTAGTGCTATATCGATAAGCACGTGTTTTGCTGTGTCGGTAGCAATTCCCGCCAGAAAAATTTTACTGTCACGTGATATCTGACAAAATTCTTTAATTTTATTTATGTTAGGTTAGAGCCTATTTTAGGATTAGGATTTAGGAGTTCTAATAGTAAAATCTGTTAAGAAAAACTTTTGGTTAATGCATAGAAGGTGGTTTTCTATGTGAATTTTTGAGTTATAATCGATTTGAAAATTTCTGATTACATTAAATCGTGGTTTATTATTGGCTTGATTTTGTCAATCATTACATGACAAAAAAATTACATAATAATTTTTCTGGCAATCCTGGGATACAAAACATATATTTTTGATACTTATGCATATACTTTTTTAATATACTCAGATATTCTTAAAAAAATAAATATACTTGTTAATATTTAAGTATCATTATAAAAATTTTTTACAATATAACACAATTAGAAAAATATTAAAAATAATTGTACAATAAATTTAATTACAACTGCAAACAGAACTTTTTTTAATGTTTTTCTAGACAACATAACAAAAATTAAACTACAGAAAAATGTTATAGGAAGATTCAAGATAAATATTATTTTTAGTTTTGTTTTTAAGTAAATAGTTGTTAACAAAGCCTGAAGATGTGAAATACTAAGAAGTAAGTATAATTTGAATAGTTTTTTTTGAAGTCAAGTTTTTTTTTTGGTAGATTCCTCAAGATATTTGGTATCTAATCTAAAAGGTTTATTCTAAGAACTGAACTTCTAAATAGGTTGTTGTCAACAAAGTTTTAAAAATATAAAATACTGAGAAGCAAATATAACTTAAATAGTTTTTCTTGAAATCAAGTTTTTTGTTTGTTTATAGTGAATTTTTCAAAATATTTGGTATTCAAACTAAAAAGTTTATTCTAGAAGCAAATAGTGGTTAGACTTTCATTAAGATGGTATAATTTTGAAGAATTAATTATCACAGGTTGAATACCAAAATATTGGACAAAATATCAGCTGTCCGATATTCCTATAAATAATAACAATATCTTATCAAGATATCGTCAAAGAATATAGATCGATTATATTTTGCTGAAAGATTCGTTTTCGAATGAAAAGTATTAGTAAATATCGGCAAGATAAATATCTTACCAAAATTAATTAGTATTTTGTAGAAACAGGTATCAGTTATTCAATATATTAACTTAATTTTTTATGCTAAATTAAATAGATTCCGTTAATGCACAGGGCATAAATAATGATGTACTGTAATTACATACGTATGTATATATGTATCTTTATTTTAACTATTTAGTTGATTTTATATCCGGCTTTGGGTAACTACTATATATTGTCAGTTGTTTTCAATTTTCTAAACATGTTTAAACTACAACCCTTTCTTTCTTTTTGTCATTTCTTTGTTTAGAATTATGTTTCTGGCTTTGGGTGACTAAATACATTTAATTACCACCCTTTCTTTCTTGCCAAGGTAGGTTTCGATCTTTCTCTTCAACATTTCTTCAGCTTGAATTATTTTTCTGTATTCTTCTTACCAGGTAGATTTCAATCTTTCTCTTTAACGTTTCTTTAGCTTGAATTATTTTTCTGGCTTTGGGTAATCACTATATATTGTTAGTTGTTTTCGATTCTGAATATCTTTAACTACCACCTATTCCTTTTTTACCAGGTAGGTTTCGATCTTACTCTTTAATGTTTCTTCGGTTTAAATTATTTTTCTGGCTTTGGGTGATTACTATATATTGTTGGTTGTTTTCGATTCTGAATATCTTTAACTACCACCCATTCTTTTTTTACCAGATGGGTTTCGATCTTACTCTTTGACATTTCTTTGACTTGAATTATTTTTCTGGCTTTGGTGATCACTATATATTGTTAGTTGTTTTTGATTCTAAATATCTTTAACTACCACCTATTTTTTTTTTACCAGGTGGGTTTCAATCTTTCCCTTTGATGTTTCTTTGGCTTGAATTATTTTTTCAGCTTTGGTGATCACTATATATTGTTGGTTATTTTCGATTCTGAGTATATTTAACTACCACCTATTCTTCTTACTAGGTAGGTTTCGATCTTTCTTTTTGACATTTTTTCAGTTTGAATTATTTTTCTAGCTTTGGGTGATCACTATATATTGTTGGTTATTTTCGATTCTAAGTATATTTAACTACCACCCATTCTTCTTACTAGGTGGGTTTCGATCTTTTGCTTCTACATTTCTTCAGCTTGAATTATTTTTCTAGCTTTGGGTGATCACTATATATTGTTGGTTTTTTTCAATTCTGAGTATCTTTAACTACCACCTATTCTTCTTACTAGGTGGGTTTCGATCTTTCTCTTTGATGTTTCTTTGGCTTGAATTATTTTTTTGGCTTTGGTGATTACTATATATTGTTAGTTGTTTTCGATTCTAAATATCTTTAACTACCACCTATTCTTTTTTTACTAGGTGGGTTTCGATCTTTCCCTTCAACATTTTTTCAGTTTGAATTATTTTTCCGGCTTTGGTGATTACTATATATTGTTGGTTGTTTTCAATTCTGAATATCTTTAACTACCACCTATTTTTTTTTTACCAGG